CTGGGATCAAAAGAGAGTCAAAGGGCAAAAAAAGCAATGTTGAAATTCATCTTTTCTTAAAATAAAAAAAAAAAAAGGTGCTTTTACTCTTAAGAGAAACTCACATATACATATACAATAAGTAGCAAATTAAACATCTAACAGGGCAAAACCCAGCAGTTTAATCCTCTAATGTAATTCTGTATCAGTAATAAAGATGATAAATAGTATTCCAACAATTAGTCATGTGAGCAGAAAAGCTAGCAAAACCTACAGCTTTATGATCCACTGTTAGATGAACCTCAGTATCATCAGCTTTACACCACTGCCATTCTCAGCTCTCACCCATGTCCCCTATCTCTCTTGCTCCTTGGCTGGGCAAAAAGCCCATGCGGCCCAGGAGCAGAGGTGCCCTGCCAGCCACGTCCTGCAGCATCACCCAGAACCTTCTGGCACACAGCGGCAGGACAGATATTCAAGGTGAAAATTTAGGATGTGAGACATGAACCCTCCAAGCCTTCCAGCATTCTTTCCAAGTGGGTTAAGTTGTCCACCAGACTAAAGGATGCAGATTCAAAGTGATACCACAGTTCTGTAAGCACCTTTCCTTTTGGAAAAAAGGCTAAGAACACAGACAAGGTGACAAACAGCAAGTTTGTGTTTGTGGGAGGGGGGGAGAAAAAAACCCCAAAATCTGCTGTTTTACAGCATAAACCACAGGCTATTAGGACACATAGAGATATACTGACAATTGCAGATGTTTCACATTTCAGTGCAAATGGTAAATGGATGATTCCGACCTTAATAAAAATCTTAATAATATCTTCATAAAATATTCCCGAAATGGTTACTGTATATAGCATTGCAAATGTTTTCTTTGACATTGTCCAAAATGTTTCTGAGTTTGGAAAGTGATGCTATAAGAATACCCAAGTTTTTGCAGAAACAGTGCTGATCTTGAACATTCTAATACAAGTCCAAAGCCTAAAACTGTCTTTCAAACAAGATCAAAGTTATGTCCTAGTCTCTCAGCAATCATGAAAGACTGCATCCTATTAGCCACTTAAACACCATCAGTTTATACAGATCCTGTTCTTATATTACAGTGATAAACTTTAACATTTCTGAAGTCCTTTACATAGTCAAAACCTTTTGCAGTTTTTTCCTTGGAAAGACTGGGGCAATAATTCTGCTTTCTGTCTATCTTTGAAGATTCTGTGTAATACCTTCTATCTACAAGACTTTCCAACTGGAATGGATTAATAGGACAAGGCTGAACCTTATCAACACTAAAACAATATTTGAGTTCAGCAGTGCTGCCCTCTTGTTGTGAGAAGATGAATGCATTCCTGAGTGTGAAATGGAACAATTTCTCAGGAGCTCATCATTTCACAGCTATTTTGCCAGCTATTTTGTTTTATATCTGAAAATTATCTTAAATTACTCATATAGACTAATAATAATAAAGTTTCAAATTTTCACAGAGCAATAGAAATGCAAAGAGCAATAGAAATGCAATATATGGAATGTTTGGTCTTCTCTTTGTTATAAATTTATATGCATTTCCATGTTGGGGGTATTTTGTTGTGGGGTGGGTTTTTTTCTTAGGGAAAAGAACAAAAAATTGGCAGGAGAGAGAAAAAGAAAAGTAGGGCAGCTCCAGACTACAAGATATTTATATAGCTTAGTTGGTTTTGAATGGCTAAACCTGGAGAATTTTACCATATAAACTCAAGAAATGGAGTTAGGCAATCTGAGATAAATTAATAGTTATTTTGCAGAAGAGGATAAGTGAGGCACCAGATGACACAGTCTTATCTCTATAGAGAGTTGTGGGGTGGGAGCTGAGGAACTGTCAACCCTGAGATTATACCAGTTGGTTAGAGCATGGTGCTAACCCAACACCAAGGTTGTGAGTTCAATCTCTTACAGGCCATTCTCTTAATTAATTCACTTAATAATCCTTGTGAGTCCCTTACAGTGCAGAATATTCTGTGATTCAGTGTAACCTCAGTCCAGGAATGGACAGCCAAAACAGCTGAAAGAGCTGTGAAGAGGACAGCGAGGAAGAGAAGCACAGATGGGTTTGTCAGAGATAAAACGCATGAAATCAATTTTCCCATAACCCGGTAAGATTTCCCAGGAACATTTTTCACAGTAGTCAATCTCCTCTCTTTCCCAAGACTAGTAATATTTTGACACTTTCTCACATCACCTTCCTACAAATAGGCTAGGGAAGCCTGGTCCACACAAAACTATTACATAAAAACTATTATAGGTTGCAAAACTGGCTGGAAAACTCTTAGCAGAAATTGAATATCATTAGTTTATAATCAAAATGGAAAGACATACTAAATGTGGGTTTGCAGGGTTCTTTATTTAGTCTTAATTGATATATTTGTATTAGTTAATATGTATGTTAAAAGACCTGAAAGGTAGAAGAGACATTATTCTCACTAAATCAGTACGTCATATCACCTTGGAACGTACCACTACTATGACAGAGAGCAGCATTAGAATTCAATACCCTCTTGATAAATAGGGAAACAGACTGAAAAAACTAATACAGTTCAGCAGGGAAGGATATGCATATAGAGCCAGGAATAATAAATTGCATGACACAGGATCAGGAACGATTGCCTAGACAGCAGTTCTACAGAAAAGATATGCAGTTTATGATGGATTACAGGGGGAACATAAACCAACATTGTCACTCACTGCAAAAAGACAAACATCTATACTAGAACAAGCCCACAAAGCTACAGCTTGGCAAACACATGAATTTCTTTGTTGTAAAGCACTTTTTAGTGCATTTGTGAACAGTACTTTTAACTTCTATGAATTCTAAAAAAATTTAACCTTTTTAATCACAACACATAAAATTTGCACACACATGTAAAACCTGTGGATTATTTTCTGGCTCATGCAGCATCAATGTATTTATTCACAAAATCTCTTTAAAAAAACAACTACAGATAATGTGTTGAAAATTGTAAAATGTTCCCCTGTTGACTTCCACACATGATTAAATTTGCATAGTTGGATATTTTAAGAATTCATTTTCCTGATATGGTTTATACAGAATTCATTAAGAGGCCAGGAAATAAAATAACAACTATAATTGTGATTGTCCCCTCCCAGACTCATTAGGAGTCATTTCTTAGAGTATTATTGCACTCTAATTAGAATTTTGTGAAATACAGATTAGTTTAAAAGAATATATATGCAACCCATAAGACTGATTAGAATTCCTGTTATTGGTTCCTGGTAATCACAGAATCACAGAATATGAGAAGTTGGAAGGGATGCACAAGGATCATCGAGCCCAGCTCCTGGCCCTGCACAGGACCATCCCCAAGAGTCACACCATGTGCCCAAGAGTATTGTTCTTGAACTCTGTCAGGCTTGGTGCTGTGACCACTTCCCTGGGGAGTGCCCATCCATCCTCTGGCTGAAGAACCTTTTTCTGATATCCAACATAAACCTCCCCTGACACAACTTCAGGCCATTCCCTTGGGTCCTGTCATTGGGCACCACAGAGAAAAGATCAGTGTCTGCCCCTCCTCTTCCCCTCATGAGGAAGCTGTAGACTGCAATGAGGTCTCCCCTCAGTGTCCTCTTCTCCATGCAACAGGAACTGCTTGAAAAGCACAGGAAAAACCTTCTTATTTCATGTTTTCTGTTATTTCCTTAGAAACAAAAAGAGAAATAAATACCTCCTGATATGGGAATGACAAATAGTATATTTACTGGAAAATATGTCAGTCAAAGGCAGTGTACTTTAAGTTCTTGACAGTAGTTACTCAGCTCACCATTTCAAATGCTAAATCCAAACTCCATTACAGCACAGGTGGTTTATGGACATCCTGATGGTCAGTAGAGCAAAACATTGTCACTAATAGAGGTTGAAAAATTTTGATAGTAGGCAAAATACATTTTTTCTGCAACCCTGATTGTTCATCATTATAATCTACAGATATGAATTCTGTGAACTGCACAGAACAGAAGGCCAGGGAGTAAAGCCTGAGGAATATCAACCAGTTTTTATTATGCTTAATGTGTATTTATTTATTTAGTCCAGTGAGTGGACAGTGAGGTGGATTATAAACTGGCTGAATGGTAGATCTCAGAGTGCCATAATCAGAGGCACAGGGTATAATTGGAGGCCTGTCTCTAGTGGTCTCCCAGGGTTCTATAGTGGGCCCAGGACTGTTTGACTTATTCGTCAATGACTTGGATGAAGGGACAGAGGCCTCTTCAGCAAGTTCATTGATGACACAAAGATGGGAGGAGTGGCCAATACCCCAGAGTGCTACACAGTCATTCAGAAGGACCTGGACAGGTTGGAGAGATGGGCAGAGAGGAACATTATGCAATTCAACAAAGGCAGATGCAGGGTCCTGCACCTGGGGAAGAATAACGCAGTACAGGCTGGGGGATGACCTGCTAGAAAGCAGCTCTGCAGAGAAAGACCTGAGATTCCTGATGGACAACAAGCTGTCCATGAGCTAGTATGTGCCCTTGTGGCCAAGAAGGCCAATGGTATCCTGGGGAGCATTACAAAGAGCAGTGCCAGCAGGCCGAGGTACATGATCCTATCCCTCTACTCAGCCCTAGTGAGGCCACATCTGGAGTGCTGTGTCCACTTCTGGGCTCCTCAGTACAGCAGAGACGTGGAGCTCCTGGAGTGAGTCCAATGGAAGAGCAACAATGATTAAGGGACTGGAGAATCTCTCTTACAAGGAAAGACTGAGGGAGCTGGGCCTGTTCATCCTTGAGAAGAGACGACTGAGAGGGCATCTCAACAACATCTATAAGTATCTGAAGGGAGAGTACCAAGAAGATGGAGCAAGGCTCTGCTCAATTGTGCCAACTAATAGAACAAGAGGCAATGGGAAGAAACTGATGCACAGGAAGGTCCATTTGAATATGAGGAAGAACATTTTACTGTCGCTGTTAAAGTCGGGACGGCCAATGTGACATAGAACCTTCTTCCAAAGCAGGGACAGGATTACAAGAAGGCTGTAATCACTTTATTGTAACAGGTTGCAAACATTTATACTTTTCACATATCACACATGTCAACTTTCTATCGGTGTCTTCATATAAACATATATCAGGCTATACACATGTCATCCTGCTATTGGTACAGGTCATCAGGCCATCCACATGTCAACCTGCTATTGGTACTTTCATGTATACACACACCAGGATTGGTTGCAAACTAGTAAACACAGTTTTTGTCGAGTCATCCTGACTTGCAGAAAGTACAGGAAGTCCATTTCTGTCCTCCATCTTCTTCCTGTCTGAAAGTTGCCCACATTCTTCTGCGTGCTGTGTTCTCCTCCTTTCAGGGGTATACTGTAATCCAGTTTATGTCCACTGCTTCGTCGATAAATGCCAGGCTGCTGACAGGCTTGCTGTCAACCCTGACACTTTACTGTGCACGTGACCATGCACCAGAACAGAGTGACCAGAGAGGTTGTAGAACCATCTGGACACAATCCTGTGCAATGTGCTCTAGAATGGCCCTGCTTGAGCAGGGAGGTTGGACCAGATGACCCACTGTGGTACCTTCCAACCTTACCCATTCTGTGAATTAATTGATGTGGTAGAGGCAATACTTAGGAGCAATAAATCACATTCTAAGTTGTTATTTATGAAAATCTATGAACAGAAGGAACTTAAATGTAAAAACAGCTACCAGAATATGAGCAAATCTGTTGGCAGGATGCAATCACTAAAGTATACTCAGAAATTCTGCTTGTCCATGAGGTTCACCCATTACAATAGACAAACAAATGCTCAAAAATATGTAATTGCTCACATTGTGACTTTTCTTTAGATCAAGTTATGCCTGTGCCTGTTGAGGATGAAAGATGAAGAAATAAAACACAAAGAAAACCCCTCTTTTACAGAGGCTTACATTCCCAGAATTACCATATAAGACAAATCAACAATATTAGCCATCATCTTTCACTGAGTGGAAGGAAAGGTGATATCTTCTTCCACAGAAGACAGGCCTTATCATCTCAGACTAATGCAGAAAAAAATCACAACCACTGGAGTAAAACTCGTGCATCAAAATGCTCATGGACATAAAAAGACACCTCTCTAGGATTAAGCTAAGAGACTTCAGGTGTGTTAATACCTTCACATGAACAAGTGGATCCTAAACAGAAAAACAACTCTGAGCCCTCACAGCAGAACCTTTTATCTCACTGTGCATGCTGGAACCTCCTGAAGCTGCAAGAGTGTGGTTCAAACCTCATGCCCAATGGATGATGAAAACACCTGCACCTATTAGCCACATGGGAAGGAGACTTCAGATGGAACTTGGTAAACAGCCCGGCCCTGGCATCTCAAGCTACCCGGGTCACAAATCAGAGACTCTCAAGGTCGCACTGGTAAACAGGACACACATGGCTATGTGCTAATACCAGAAAGAGCAAAGTTCAGAGGACCTCCAACAAGGGCAAAGAGAGCTCTTATTAAGGAATTAGGTCCTTCTCTTCTCCTAGGAGGAAAGAGTAAGCCGCTCATTTCTGACAGTAGGCATAAACCAGAGAGGTTTCATTAGCTGAGTGCATTCTCAGCCTCTGGGCATATACAGTGTCAGGAAGAGAAAGCACCAGAGAAGATCCTCCTCTTCCATTTACGTAGAAGATGGTGCTACAAGGCTACAGGAGGTATCTTTATGCAGCTTCAGCTTCTGAAGTTGCATGCCTGTATGGTTTGCATCTTTTGGTATTCCTGAGGAAAATACGAAAATCATGACTACTTCATACACCACCTTTGCAAAGTGTGAGTCACTCATCTCCACCCCTATCCAGCATGCCAGATGCATTTCTTAACAGATAATAGAGCAGAGCAACATAGCTATAGGCATCAGGCAGAAACTTATCTTGAATTGTCTTGTTCTCCTTCCTAGTATCTGTTGCAATTTTGAAAGGTCCTTGATTCAGTTTCCCAGAGTAGGAATCAAATGATTGTGAAAAAGTCATGAGCAATTTGCTCAAAAGATACAGGAAACTGAAAGGCTTGGTGATCACACCCAAGGTAGCACAGAGAGTCCAAGCAAAACAAGACTGATCTAGTCCAATTACTAGTTATCAAACACATAAACTCTTTCATAAACTAAATAGGATCCACCTTAAAATGAATTTGACTTTCAGTCCTACAAGGAGTACTGGAAAGTTGCTCTGGAATGTAATTTTGTACGGTTTCATGAGCCCATATCTGTAAGCCAATACTCAATTGCATATAGAAAAGCCATAAGGAAATATCTAAAGGACTTCCCTTTGAAACTGTCATTTTTGCAGCTACCTTTTCAAGGACATTATTTCATACAGCCAGTAAATGTGTATGTTAGTTAGTAAAGGCTACATTTCAATACTGCTTTCCAATTAATTAACTTTCTTTCCCTAGTGTCTACTTAATTACCTTCTAGTTGTATCCCTGGAGTGGTGCCTAAGGCATAAATGAGGGCAGAGTCACCTGAAAAAATCACTGAGGTCAATTCCCCTTGGTGTCCTGAGAACAGAGATCTCATACCCATGTAATCCAAATGGCTAGAGGGGAAAAAAGATAATATAAAGGCTGAATTAATATTCTTTCTACCGATTGAATGGTAGAGGAATAATTTATTAATATTGGGTTTATGCAATAATTTCTTCCAGAAAGAGAAACACAAAAACACTCAATAAGTAAACTTCATATTTTTCTGTTTCTTAGGAGATGCATATTTTTAAATGTTTTTAGCAATATAACCTCTTATCACAAAATGTGATCCTCTCATTAGAGTATAATATGTAATATCTACTCTACAAAGAACATTTTTTCAGAGATAAAGGGGGTCAAAAATTCATGTCAATTTATCATTTTGTTGCTGTTAGAGGAATGATTTGTCAAGATATATTCTGCCTTGAGCCGTCAGCACACTGATAGAGTTAATTCATTCCCTAGCCTTATTCATTCCCTAGCCCAAGACATGTATACTCAGATCTATTTATCCCAGGAAAAGGACTTTACTGACGAAATAATGGTTGTTACCCGTCTGAATGAAGCTCTGGCATAAAGATTATACTGCACTAGGGAAGGAGTCGGAAAATCTTGTATGAAAATTCTGTCCTGCAGAAATAATTGATGGTTTTGCTACAGACTTCACCGCAGCAAAATTTTACTAGAAGTCTCTTCATACTGTTTCTATCCTTTTCCCAAATTTATGACTAAGATATTCAGGAAGATAACAGTGCTCTTGTGGTAAACCATGTATTTTACTAAGGACTTTAACATGAGGGGACCTGAAGATCATTTAATTTTTCTAAAGAGGTAAACTGTGCTTCACTAGATTCTTTATCAGACCTGATCATTAATAATCTAGAGGTAACTTCACCAATTTCCATGAAACTCATTTAGTCATGTGGGTTAGGTTTCTTCCCACCAATCTGCCACTACTTAAGACACCTTTTAACAGATATTTTCTAACCTCTCTGAATCAATCCCCTCAATAGCTGTGTTTATAATTTGTCCTCCAGATGACAGCAAAGGTCAATTCCCTATCATGTCATTAAAGGTGTGTTTAATTTAGCCTCTTTCCCCTACACAGCTAACAAAGCCATGATAAATCAGCTATATAGCAAGAATAAACACACTGCTTCACTTAATTAAAAATTAAATTCCTCTTGAGGGATCATTACAGTAGTGAGCTGCTACATGCCTTTGTTAAATAGGTGCTTCTTCGAGAACACAACCAGGGGTATACTATTGGGAACTCTGTATCAATATAAACAGGAATTTGTTCAGACATTCAATTAGAACACTACACGTGTTCATCCTCTAAAAAGAGGTGGGTATAGAAAAGCTAAGGCTTCTTTGAAGAACCTAGAGAATTGCACTACTATCTGGTTCAGTTTGGTACCTGGTACACTTATGAATCATGTAATTTCAGTATTTGCAAGAAAAAGAAAAACATATTGCTTTGCATACTTATGCTGGCCAAGAAACCCCTGTGGAAGAAGGTTCAAGAAGAAGGGCAAGGGGGCTGTGCCTGTGTGGTTCAGGGAGTAATGCTGACTGTGACTGACCACAGCTGTTGCATAGAAGACTTTACTGCAACACAAAGGGGACTGGAAGACGGCCTTTGTTTTAGAAAAACAGCTACCAAGAGGTGAGTGGATGAACTGGTGTGAATGTTTTTTCCTGAGTTATTAAAAGAATGTAAATGCCTCCCTGAGTTAGCCAGACCAGCATGGGGGCTGGGGTGTGAATAAGTGACGAATAAGGCCCTGTGATTTCAGGACTCTTATCTGTCACGTTCCCACAAAACCAATGCTCAGCTAAAGACCGCAGTAACTTCTACATACAAGTCCCAGTGTACTGCTGGATGTGGGTGTATCTGTTCTTTCTTCCTACTCATTGGGATTAAAACTTCACACTACACAAGCAAATAGAGTGGCAGGAAGTCATTCTTGACCTTTCATTGACCTTCACATCTGTACTTTTCACAACAAAAGAAAATAACTCTTCACTCAGATTTTCTTCCATTTCAGTGGGTTGACGGCCACAGCAGTCAGCCAAAACACACTGATGGTATGTAATACTGTAGCTCTACACTAAATCCAGTTTCCTGTTAAAAAAGAGGATCAAGATTTCCTCTAAAGACAGTTCCAGGAGCATAACAGTTTCACTTTTTCATCTTTTAGAATAAGATTAGAGTAGCTGTGTCTGAGGTCTTGTACTCTGGGTCTAAAAGCAGACATTCAAGTGGGAGTAGCCACTTCATACATGGTACCAAGAATTTATCTCTGCTTAGTAATATATTCCCATGATCTAGAAATGCGAAAGTGATCTTCTCTGTGACATAATTGTTAACATGGGGACTCTTATTTATTTTCTCAGCTACAATGCATGTAAAGCAAATAGACCATAGCAATACCATTACACACACTCCTGCACTCACTTTGGAGACAATCAATATCAATTATCAAATTCTCAACAGGAGAGAAAGGCTGTGAAATTGCCCATAAAATAAATTTACAAAGTCATCCCAATATCTTCTATGCTCTGTTTTAAAAATGATACGTAAATAATTATTTCAAAGGAACTTTCACTTCATTACCATACCAGAGCCTATTCATGACCATACTGATGATGGCTATACCATCCTGTGTTTCACAGAAATGAGGAAAATAAATTGGATTCTTGTTTCAGTGAAGGTTCTTGCTTTGTAATGGATTGTGCCCCTTGGAGCAGTGTCATTCTCTTTTACTAGCTTCTCAAGCTCCCTAACAGACCTGTATCTTTTATTCAAATAAAGGTGATGTTTGCTTTTTTAACCAATTACTGAAACTTTAAGAGCCCAGGAAAAGACTTTCAACCCTACAGGACTCTTTATGAGTAACATTACACTTTCTTTTAGGAAGGTAATCCGTAGGTTTTCTAACATTCATGCAAGTCTTGTCGTTGTCTCTTGTGAAAGACCCACTAGCAGGATGAGAGTTTTCTTACAACCCTCTAAACATCCCAGACACTCCTGTGAGTTTCTCCTCTCTTTTTCTCTGAGAAAAAGAGCTACAAAAATTTGTCTTTCTATTTTATGGTACAAGTGATGATAGTAGCTTTCAAGGGACTGGTGGATCAATATGCGGATGATGTTACATCTATGCTGAATCACCTTTGGAAACACGGGAGAGAAGGAAAAGGAAATTTTCATTTTTAATATATATTGTTTAAATGCCACTAGTGCCCAGAGATACTTGGCATAGCTTCCTGACCCATTTGATATTTGTTGTTACACATATCCAGGTGATAGGAAAGTGCCCAGCATTAGTCTACAGTAAGACTTTATCCTATAGTCCCTGAAAAAACTTAGTAGAGTTTTCCTGGTAGCTGAAGTGCATTCCAGTCTAAGAGTCAGCACAATGTATTTCAGACAACAGAAGTAACATTGCTGTAAGCCGTTTAATGTATGATCTTCTGCCTCTCCAAGTGGAGGATTTGCTCTTTCCATCACTATATTATGCCAGTAGTCCTCACTCATTTTAGTGAAAACATGCTACAATGAGCATGTTGCAAAACTTCAATGCATTGCAGCCTTTCCTATCATTGCATCACTTTCTAAGGTGATTATGTGTATCACATCTAGGTATCATTTAATACTGTGTAGTCTGTGTTTGTCCACACAAATTACAAATGTGTCTGTTATTTTACAGTGTGCTACCAACTTAGAAGCGTCACGTTTGTACTTTTGAATATTTCATACCTTTATTCTCTTTAGTCCTATAAATGTCTCATCCTTAAACCTTTATCACTAATTTAGACAACTAATTGCTATAGAAAAATTACATTATTCCCTTTCATATTTCCCTATATGCTAAATACTGATAAGTAGCCTCCATTTATCAATGATATTCAGCTTTACATTAATTATATTTCAAGGCACGTAAAATTATTGTGTAGTAGCACTCTTTAGCGATGTACAAATGAATCGCATACTGAATATGAACCAAATACAAAGAATTTATGTGTAACCAAGTGAAATGTTGAATCCTGAGCAGAGATGAAAATAATACATTCAAATTAATTCAGGCAATTTTGAATACCATCCCTTTTGCTACATCTTATGCTCTCAACAATCACTCTCTTTGAACTGCAGCAACTGAGATTAAATATTAGGATGTATGAAGCCTACCTGAATCTTTCTGAATAGCCACAATTATCCCATGATTTGTAATGTTGTGCTCATGCTCTCTAATGCTAACACCAGGCACTGGTTTTATTACAAAAATCACAAATTTACTAATGCCTTTTAGAACATTATTTCAGCTGGTTTTATGTGCCAAGTTAAACTGACTACACATGCAGCATAAAATGAGGGATAAAATATGTTCTAATATAACTGTAATTAGGGTAGAAATTAAAGGACATTAGCTAGTAAAGCACAAAAACCTCAGAAAATTATTACCCCAGATATATTTGGAACCTTAAGCTTTGAGGCTTAACAAGCAATTTGAAAGCAAGTCAAACAGTCTGAGTATGATGCTAATAGATAACCACCTGTGTCCTTCCAGTGCTCTGGAAAGCCTCATTAACCATGCAAGGCCATGGATCTTGGCTCCTTTTCCACTTAAGTAAATTTAGCACTATGAAGAACCATGATGGAGTGGGTATTTCATGCTAATGAACTCTTTGCTCCACATGGTACTCTCTTCCTGTTTGAAAAAATAACCATTTGTAAGGAAAGTCAATTTTTTAGCATAAAATATTAGTCAATCAGTAGTTTGAACAATTCCCTGTGATGATCCAACAATAAAGAATCAGCTAGGACTGTTCTAACTCGGACATGTCTATTAAATAGAACTCTGTGTGGAAGTAGTCCTTTTTTTAAGAACAATAGAAACTGGATCAAAAGTTTTTTATTTTAACTGTATCAGACTCAGCAAGATTGCTGCAAAACGAGGTTAAAAACATACCTGGGAAATGATCGCACAGACCTCTAGTGGACTGAAATTGAGCTACTCAGACTTATGTGTTGCTTAACACAGCAACAAATTCCCATAGTTTATCTCTAGTGTCTTCTTGCAAAAACTAAATACTGCTGACAAGTTTTATTCTCCAGCAACTCCAGTAGTGTTTTCTACTTTCCATATATAAAGATTTCTGGTACAAATATCAGCCAGAACGTGTCCTAGAAATACAGAATCTTACTAAAAGGCAACTTTTGAAAGACATCCAGTATTATCACGTATTGTTTGCAGAGCAGAAAATCAGATTTCAAAAGAATTCATGAAGGTAACTTCTGGAGCTGCACAGATTGTATTCAAACAGGCCTGTTTTCCACTGTTTTGTCTTCCACTACCAACTTCTGAGCTAAATAAATCTCTACAGTTCTCACAGCTCGGGACTGAATGGAAGATCTCAGATTTCAGGTCTGATGACAGGATTAGACTGGAACCTGCACCATTCAGAACACCAAGTGACGTCCTGAATTTTCAGGTGTTTTACCCCAGACCACTAGCAGAATATGTTTGGGGTATTACACACATGTTCTTGTAGATCTGTAAATAATTAGGCTTCTTAAAACAAAACCTAGAGAGATGAAACTGATGATGTCTGTCAGGTCTAGAAAGTACGCTTGCCGCTCCACTGAAATGGTCCTGAGCAAGACAAATCCTTATACCATCCCTTCAAGAATTGTTTTTAAAAATCTTCCAGTTAATGCTATTAATTAAATGAGTCACATCACACATCTTGAAGAGATAACAGATTTATCAAAAATAAATGACATAAGGAAAGTCATAATAATGGTTGAACAGGTCACATGACTACTTTTGACTTCAGCATTTCTATTAGATTCAGTAAGAATTAAAAAACCAAAAGAAACAAAAAAACCAAAACAAATGAGCAAAAATAAAAACCAAACCAAACCAAACCAAACCCAAAACAAAACAAACAAACAAACAAAAAAAAACAACCTCCCAAGCATATTGCTGTAGAACATAGGAAAATGCAAAGCAAAACCGTGTAAGAGAAATTTTAGCAGATAATAACTGTTATTGAGTATTCTTTGCATGAATGCATTTTCCAAAATTAAGTATCTCTGCTGTCCAGAGATGGCATCAGAAGCCTAATATATAGAGGTATACATGCGTCACTTGCTCAGAGTTGCTCCTAATTGAGAACAAGTAGTCTCAGACAAAGGGTCATATCTCAGCAAACCAAAAGCAATCTTCAAAAAGCTATAATCTGCTTCAGTTTCATTATGGCTGAGAGAAATATGGAATATGGCTTGTATGGTTTCAACTAGTGGTGTCAGTTTATCAAAGGTGGAGAACTGTTCACCTAGGAAGAACATTGACATCAAAGGCAGAAAGGAAAGAGTGCAAACAAATACATCTAGATTTATGCATCTTCCCATTGTCTTGTAAATGGAAAAATATATACTACTACCTACCCATTGGTGGGTTTTCATACACCTATTGGAAAAGTGAGCATCGATGGGAGTACTAGAGAGGTATTACAGGTAGAACCAGATAACATTTATCATTGTTACAATGATAAAATATATGTCAAAATATTGAAGAAAGAAGTACATCTCTTCTCTGCATATACAATTGCTGTTTAGGAACAGTACTAACCACAGGAGATGCCATTTCTGGACAGTTATTTTGCCAGACTGCTGTATTGGAACGAGTAGAAATATGTACTACTGAGAAGCATAGCCTTTTAATAAGGGAATACACAGAAATAATTAGGGATTAGGAAAGCTAGGGAGATGCCTCTTGAGATTTTCAAAAGTATTGCACTTCAATGGCATTTAGGCACTCAGCCTCTGTTCTAGCCTTTCTAGGTACTAAAAAGTGCAGTTCTAATGCAAAGTCCTTACACTCCACACACTCACTTTGTATTAAAGCAAATGAAATAACTTGTTGAGATATGTCTGGAGGCATTAACCTCGTCTTGCATTACTGCACACAGTTTTAGAGAAAGCCACTGCTCTGAGATTTGAGAGGCTCTGCTGGCCACCAAGTGCTCCCACCTTACTAGTGTTGTGACTGAAAACATGTGATGCTTGTACGGCACTTTTCTCTCAGTTCCCAGGTATTTATTTTATTTTTCAAGAATGGAAGTTCTGCTCTTAGAAGTCACCTGAAACCCGAAATGAATGGATGTTATAGGTTAGAAATTCAGTAGAATTTTTCTTTCCCCTGCTCCCCCCCCACTGTAGGAAAGACAGAGTTTGAATGGAAAGGGGGAAGGGAGTTAATTAGCCTTACAAAAGAACGAGCTAACCAGGCTGCATTCCTTGCTGATGGCCCATCAGAGGCTGGGGGGAGAGGGGAGGAGTTTTGGGAGGGGGGGGGCTGGCTCTGCTCAGAGGGGAGAGGGGCAGACGGCAAAGTTCGCTCTCTGGGATGGAGACAGGGATCTGCATGCGGGCATTTGGAGAGAAGGCCTAGGAGTCTGTCTTTCTGGCTCTCCATCCTGGTGAGGCCGGACCACCGGACTCAATCGGCACACACACTGCCTCGTGACTCCAGCCAGGACCTACTGGGTTTTCATTGGAGAGGTCTGTGCTTGCTGGGAGAGAAGGGAAGAGCCTTGGAACACCGTCATCTGGGAACAAGTACTGCAGGCCCTGCACCTTCAGCGATCTAACAGCACCCCCTGCAGGCCACAATTAGGACTGCGCTAAAGGACAGAGAAGTATTCATTCAGACTTTTTTTGTGGGTTTTTTTTCTAGGACTACTGTCTAGGTTTTTTTGTGTGTTCTGTTACTGGTTTTGCCAACAGTATGTAAACTTATGATATCCAAGGACCAAACAGGTGGTTATTCCACTTACCCTCTAGCTTTTGTTTCACTATGTCACAAACTCCATTAAAGAATATTTAGCAAATACACTGTTTACTCTAAAGGATACATAAATGTAAGGCAGGGGACCTGAAACTTGTTGTGTACTTTAATTAGTTGTCTCTTCACTCCAAAGATACTTTTGGCCCTGCAGCCATGCAAACATAACAAGTACTGCATATTGCAGTTTTAAGTACTACCTGCTTGCTCTTCCCACTTTTGAGAAAACTCAGGCTAAAAAAATATCATTGTTTTAGGATGATGAGACAAGGAAGAAGAGATGCTATTTCTGAAAGAAAAAGAAAAAAAAAAGAAAAACAGAAACAAAACAAAAATGATAACAACAACAAAAACAAACTGTAAATAAAAATTAAACTGTCTCTTAAAGCAATCCTTTAGGGCCATAATACTTAAAGCAAAAATTTTATAGCAACTCACTCTTCATATATTAATGTATTTGTTATAAACTAGAGCCAAGTTTCCTAGAGCCAAAACTAACATCACACCTTGAACTTATTCCATTGTTACTTTATTTTTCATGAAAGACTAGTGGATACACATGGCTTAAAATTGTTGCTGCTTTTAGTATTTTACAGGATGGAAGCACAACAAAGACTTACTATGCTCTTTACAGAAAAAACATGAGTGGTGAGGCTCTCAAATACTTAATCGAAAAACTTCTAGCTGTCTATCTTTCAAACTGATAAAAGGATCTTGTCTTGAGTGAGTGAGTAAAATACATGAGTAAACTAGAATTACTTATATATGTATATACATGGTATGAAAATATAAAATCTACACACATACGCACATTTTTCTCTATATATATGAAGATAAACTGTTGTTTGGTCACAGCTATTGAGATAACTGTCAAAACAATATGTTAGACATAAAATAGTACCTGCTCTCCCTGACTTTCACACCTCAGCTTGCCAGACACAGCCTTCCACAGACTGCGTTTACATAGTCTGTGTTTAATGTGTTTACAGACAGTGGACTTTATTCACTATTGAGGAACCTGAAGTTTGCAGAATCTGCAAAATTAAGAACTATCTGTATGCTCTGTATCTTACTTAATTGTAAAGCAAAAGGAAATAGCAACGTGGAAAGACATTTTCAGAAAGATAGATACCATACAGCCCCCCCCGCCCCCCCAGACTGCACTGTTAAAATGAAAACAGCCACAACAAAAAAAGCAGCAGAAGGCCTGGACAGCAGGGCCACCACAACAGCACTGCTGGCTAAGGGAAACAAACTGTGAAGCCAGCAATTCTGAAAAGGTGAAAGAAAGATGGATATATTCAAACTGAGCCAACTGAAACTGTGTCAGGCAAACTACAAACCCCTTGTAACTCCAGATAAGAAGCTAGCCAGAAAACTGTTGGTGCACATTTACAGAAGAAGAGGCAGATGTAAACAAAGAGCAGCACTGAATGAGGGAAGAGAAAGAACAAGTCCTTCCACTAAGAAAAATAAAGAGAAAAATATTTTCAAGACCTGATTCAAGCAAAGACCTCTCTTCCACATGCAGAAGGAGGAGAGACACTGGCAGGAGCTGGCAAAAAGTGATCTGTAGACAGTACTCTAGATTTGAAGTGTTTTCAACAAGTCCTGCACAGTGTCAGCAGCACTGAATAACATGTACTATAGCTTTTGTAGGACCAGCTGCATTCATCTATGTCTAGAAGTGGCATTCTTTGTGACAGACATTAATTTTTGCCATTAATAAAAGCTAGAGTCTTTCCAGAGGGTCAGTTACTCTGTGTGCTAAAAATCATGGAGTGGCCTCCAGGATGTTGTTAGGGACATTCAGAAAGGTTTTTCCTATTTTGATACACATTACTTTGTACTTAGAGTAGCTAATTGGTGGTAGAATCACTGCTGTGAGAAATAGGTTCCAGGGGAAGATGAGGTGAATCCTGATGATCACTCACTCCCTATTAATGAGATCCATTTTTTTTTTTTTTCTTATCTGGAGCACTCAAAAAAGAGGGAGGAGCCAGAATCATAAAATCTGACTGTTACCATGAAAGTGTCTATTTCAGGTTTTTCCCCTGCAAATTTTTTCAGGGCAGATATACTGAATGGGTATCAGAATCTGAGTCATAGAAAAATGTCCTATCTGCAAAACAAGACTTCAGAAAGTTTCATAGCTCTAGTATGATACATACACAAGCATTCTATAAGGGGAATTCAGCGCTGTTATTCAATTTCTTGTTGACTAGGACTTCCAAAGCAGATTTTTATTGTTGACTATTAGCAATACTATGAGTTTAAAACTTGATGTAATAAACAGGACTGATATAAGGTGATCATCCCAAAGTATATTTACTAATACTTCTATTGAAGGATATTTGCTCACATCTGGGTATACTTTCAAAAGTAAGGATAATCTTGTAGGAGTACCAGATTCGGTAAGAAGGCTCATAATTTAAGTTTTTGTAGAAAACAGCCAGACATCATTCATGTTATATTATCTTTGTTTTTACAGACCATTTCAAGTCAAAAAGATGTATCTGCACATAAGATACATATAAAGACCACTGGTTCTCACATTCTGAAGGAGAAAGATTTTTGTTCCACACTGCTGCAACCTGGCAGTGTCACTGTGCTTCTGATGTTTCTGCAATGCTTTGAGATTTCCCTTCAAAGTTTTCATACAATTAGGGCAGATGAAAAATTCTGGCACTACAAAGCTTCTGACTCACTTCACCAAGATATGAAAAAAGCTGAAATGGCTCATGCAGTCCCAGCCTCACAGGCATTGCTATCCTTATTTCTCTATTGCAGAAATACATCTATGTTCTTCAACAAAACAAAACAAACCAGCCCAAATGTGCTGAATGGCTGTGAATACACATCATCTCTAAATTCTTCCTCATGGTCTTCTGCAGAGGACTAGCCTTTTGGGTGTGGAGACTTTCATACATTTAACATCAATGTGTATGTGTATGACATGTTCTGTTTTAAGGAGGTTTGCAACAAGAGTCTGCTAATGAATAAAACAGTGTCTTCAACTTCATGCTCCAAAACATTTTTTGTTCCTAAGTGCAGCAACACCCCTATCTCTTCCCATCATAAAGGAGGCACCATCTGTTGTTAAGCAAGTGAGAGATGAACTTTCCATGTGTTGTTTTCATCAATAGTGTCACATTCAGAATAGTTTGGGGGGATTTTTTAATCAATGCAATCTTTGAGTTTCTAAAGAGCAAAAGGCCCTCTGAGACTGTTTCTGCCAGTCCACAAATGAAAATAGTATTCCTGTCATCAGTAGGCTCTTCTGCACTACAGTTAGTCTAACATATTTTCTTTTCTCCTGTGGAACATGCTTTTCAACATTATTGCTGATACCTTATATCCAGCATGACATTTTTGTGAGGTTGACTTCCCAAAATGTAAGACAGCAAGGACAGCCTTGAATTTCTACGTAAGAGGCATTTTATTTTCTACCTATGCAGTCCTATACATCTCCATCCCTGTCCTGTAAAACTGGCCAGAGGAAAATGGATGTTTAGTTTCTATACATTACATAGGTCCTTACCACTAAAGAGGCATTTTCACAATATAAGCCCGAAGGTATGTGCAATAGCCCTAAAGCAGAGCATGCAGGATGTCTGATGGTACAAAGCCTTCTGACACAGACCTGGAGGACTGCAGAGAGGGGAGGGAGACAAACCTGATATAGTCCCATCCATCCTGCCTTTTGGAAACAGCCCTTGGTACCAGCTGTCTGAAACCTTGGTCAGACATTATCTGAACAATATAGTAAGCCATAAGAAGGTCATGAATCATGTTAACAGCTAAACAGTGTGTGTGGTCATAGTAATGGTCAAAACCATTTGCTTGGCTCTGGCTTATTTAATGGCATGCATGCTGCCTTACTTTCAAACACGGATTCCAAAAAAAATCATTCTTCATCTTAGCAAAGGGAAGGTGTAAGGGTGATCTTACCAATGTATATAAAAAATTGAAGGGAGGATAGAAAGAAAATGAAGTCGGGTGCTTTTCAGTAGTGCCCAGTCACAGGACACAAGGCAATGGACACAGATCAAAAGTTTCCGTCTGAAAATCAGGAAACACTTTTTCACTGTGAGAGGGTAACCGAGCACTAGCAGAGTTGCCCAGACTAGTTGCAGAGTTTCCATCCTTGCAGACATTCAAAAATCATCTGGATACAGTCTTGATCACCCTGTTCCAAGTCACTCTGCTTGGGCGAGGAGATTGGATCAGATGGCATCCAGAGGTCCCCAGGCTTCCAACTCCATGCTTTTTGTGATTCTATGACTGTGTTCTGTTGAGGGTGGACAAAAGGACATAAGTAATTTGTGAACTACTTGCAAGGTTTAATGAGTCATAAATTTCTTGTTAGCTGCGTCTTATTGAGCCTTGACCTAAGGAAAAAAGTGTCTGTGCATGTGTGTTAATCTCCAGATAAAATGATATATAACTGAAAATTAATCAAAAACCCCCAAACTTTTAAACAAGACATACACCCTGTGAATAGTTATCCAGATGAAAGAATTCAGATTAAATATATTGCACAGGACAATTTCCATCTGTTCCACACATAGTTGCTGAGTTATGTCAAACAGTAAAAGTTAAAAAGCATTTCTCTTGCCTGTTTTCACATCAGTGAAGGTAATGGGAGAATTATAAGAAATCAAGTATGCAAAGGGAAAAAAGTATCCACACTGGGGGAGAAAATGTTTAAAAATTACTGCAGCAAAGTTTTCAGCTAACTTCAAAAGAAACATTACAGAAAATTCAGAGCACATTTGGCTGAGGTGATTTATTAGTTCCAGTATTAATTGTTTATACTAACATAGTTAATACCAAATCCTACTATGCTAGATCCTAGAATACACAGGACAGAGGAAGATCCTTTTACATTTTAACAATCTGTCTTTGTAATTGACAACTATATGAGCATTAGATTATTAAAACACCTAAATAATTTAAGAGTATTTTCCTTATTAAAGAAGAAGCAAAACTATTTCAACAACTAAATCTTTTACTTCCTCTTTCCGTTACTGCCCCTCCAACATAGAGTCCTTTAGAAAGACTTCTCCACTTACTGTGAATCTCTTGTTTTACAGAACTATTTAAGATCTCATTCATCACTGTGATTGTTCATGAACTTGTGTGCAGGGATAATTCAAGGGAAAACATTATTGCATGACGTTCTAAGTTTTGTTCAATAATCATTAATTGATGAGTTCTTTAGAGATAGCTGATGCAATATAGAAGCTCTTCATGTTCGTCCTTCAGTACTCATCAGTCCTCAATGAGTGCTCTACCAACACTGTAAAGAAAGTAAGATTTCTTTGCCAGCCCAGAATTCAGATCTCTTCTCTAAGTAGTCAGATTTTATCTGTTGTTCTGAAAGACAGTATCTCTACTTCTCTTTACAGTAGATTTACAACTTGTTTTCTGGTTCCTGCCAAGAACCTGATGGAAATCATTTATTAGCAAATTCTGAAGTTTCTACAGTGGTCCTTGCACAGCTCTGCCTCCCATGTGCTGTTGTTTGCCATGTTATAAGTGTTGCTTAAAAATTGGGAGCAAAAAACCTCCAGGCAAATTTAGTATAGATAAATAGAGAGTAGGTCTTTAATGAAGGCCTTCTGGCATAAGGAGTACAAAGGTGTGCACTCTGTGTCCGGTGGTTCTACAATTTTATAGTATTATCCATCCAATCCAAGAACTATCTGCCCTCAGATCCTCCACTGAATTGAGTCAGAGGTCCTAAGACCCCTTTCTTCTTGATCTTCCTCTTCTTCATGGCATGCACTGTCTTTGGAGCTTCTCCAAGGTTCCAGGCTTAAAGGTTGCTTTGACTATGAAGGTATCTTATTGTTCAGGCCTGAGATGCCTGAGTTTACTATAGTCCTGCCTTGAAAGGAGCCCGAACAAGCCTAAAGAATTTAGAAAATTCAATATGGAATGGGGGAATAGGGTTTGGTAAGTGTTAGCTACTATTCTAAAGTGCGAGATGATACAATTGTACTAAAACCCTATATTTACTACACAGCTACTTTAAAATCTACAAAAAGCTAAAAATCCTAAAAATTCTGAGCCATCATATACCCCTTTTCCTTTAAAATTATTTTTCTGCATAATACAGTTTCAGTGGGTCCCACAGGGATCAAAACTGCAGCATCAGTAAGACAATGATATTTCATTCCAATAGTCATATTGGCTGTAAATGCAAAGTACCTAATTTCACAGTAGTAAAGAATCAAAAGTACTTTTAGTTTCATTAAGTATTACCACTGGGAAAATAATACTGTATGTTGCTTATTTAAGTATTCCACTGGCAATACCTGGGATACTAGCAATTCCCAAGAGTGGATGTGGAGTCCTTGCCCCATGACTCTGATTCACATTCTGCGAGTTTCTATAAAGACACCATTTTTGTTATTAAGCTGTATATCACTTTTGCTTAGCAACACAGCGAAGTTAGTAAATGTTGTGAATTAGGGAGGGTGTGAATTCTCAGTTTCCTCAAGCCATCTCCTTATCTCTCATCAGGAAGGTTAACTTCATGCTTGGAAGGATAGCAAGAAAGAGAGAAGCAGAGGCATGTCTGCTATACCTGTGGCAGTCTCCTATTTTTAATTAATTTCTAAATAAATTTACCTTTTTATCCTGCTGGTTGTAGAAGGAGTCTGGGCCCCATGAGTATACCACTTAGAGCATGTACAACTAATTCCAAAACAAATGTGAAAGAATTTGTCTTGCAGACAATGGTAAGAGGTAAAACAGGTGAGAGGGAAAGATATCACATCACTTGAGGTGGAAGCTGATCTCCCTAGATTCTGTACTTGCGGGGAGGGAGAGAGAGAAGTTTCTGTGGAGTGGAGATCACAACACATGTCTAACTTACATGGTCTGAGCCTCTCCCTTTGCAGGAGACTCTCCATCAGCCATGCAGAAGCCTGGGGACAGCTGCAATTGTGTCAGATGAACAGTTATGGTGAGAATGCCCTCAGCTGGAGCCAGTGCAGAGTAAATCACATACTGTAAATTCACACTGTAATGTATTGTGCACCAGCTTTTCACAAAGATGAGTCATTCATGGCAGAAAAGGAAAGTGTGGACATGTTCTTTTGTAGACAGTGCTGCAATTTTATGTCACGCTTTTCATCCACTGATTTCAAGGAATACACAAAAACAGATAAACACAAATACTGTTTTAGAAACTGAAACCACAAGTGATATAAGCAGTATCCGTTCAGAAATTCTGTCAGAGATTGGGGACAACCCCCAAATTGTTGTAACAAGGAAAATTAAGCAACATGAAAACCCAAAGGAGATTCTCGTACATGATGAATTCCTTTGCCTACATTTTTATTCTACATTCCTGGTATCTGAGAGTGGTATCTGAGAGTAGTATCTGCAGTAAGGATTCTGGATTTATGACATTTATGGAATAAAGTTTTGAAATACTGAAAATAGATTCAAATTTGCACACAACAATTTCTTGAAGTCAACTAAATTCCAATTAGATCATGAAATCAAACCAATGTGAAACCAAAACCAGGTGCAAAAACCATGGCCCAGTTTGTTGTTGCAGTAGTCAATTTATAGTAAAGTAAAAATGTCCTTTCAGTATCAGACATGCACATAACAAAATAATGACTTACTTTATACCCACTGAAACTTTGTTCAAGAATTCAGCAGCGTATGGAGTCACTAAAGTGCCAGAGCTGAAAACCTAAATAGCCAAGAAGAAAACAGGGCGGCAATAAAACCTTTCTTTCCATCAGTTGCTTGTCAGTGTTATGCTGCTGTAACAATGACCAATGATGGCTTTGAAACTTTCACACACTGCTCTTATAATGTTCTACACTAAATCACAATGTAGGAACTGAAGAACTGCAGAGAAGGTACAAAGTGATAGCACCGATACCGTATATTAACTTCTGAAACAGCACATAACTCTCCTCTTCCCAGCATTTGCATATTTTGCTGTTGGAAAGTTACTGTCACAAACAGAAAATCCTGTTTTGCTTTCTTGCCTTCCCTACCCTTTCCCGGCTTGGATGCATGGATAGGCATGTTGAATCCCGAGTCTCTCAGGTGCTCTTCCCAAAGCAGGACAACTCAAAAAATTGGCTAACAATTCCTAGCGTTTTCTTTTCCCTGCTGTTAGCCTCCAGCACTGTATTGAAGCAGGGTTTTGTGAGAAGCTTCCACCCTCTGTGCCTGCTAGTATGTTGAATGATAATCACTGACATTGAAAACTGAACCACAGTACAGACCGGTCTGATGGTCTCTTTGTGTCCCTCACATACACCCTTCTGCGAATGCCAAATACAGTCATAGAGCTCTACATGGATTATAGGTGCTATGTACCTGCACACTATATCCAAGAACCTGTCCTTTCCTCATAAACTTTTGGCCTATGGGCCTTCATGAAGTAAAAGCTCCTGTTGCAAGAGCAGCTCTGCAGGAGAGGACCCATTAAATTATCTTGGAGGTAAAAAGGAGAAAACCTTAGTCTGAATGTGAACAGTTGATGAAATCTCACTGCCATCTGTACCCTGATTGCTGGGAAGGCTGGAGGTACTGCTGGAGCTAGGAGGCCTGGACTTCAGTGTGGAAATTCATGGTTTAAAAAATGGAGAACAACAGGCTTAATTTTGACTAATTGGCAGGCATTTTATGACCAGTCTGTGGGGTTTCTAGCATCTCCCTACTTTAAAATCTCTCTAAGTCTCAATGACTGTACAAAGGCCCTCTCAAAGAAAAGAACTGAAGTACATTGTTCAGGTCAGTACAGGCTTGAATTAAGTGACTGTATCTCCACAGAGACATCTTCTTTCTTACTGTAGTCCAATATGACAAACATATCCCTTAAGACCTTAACAATTTGCCACTGGTTTTCTGAATACTATATTTTATGGCACTTTATAAGCACAGTGTTACTGTGTGAGAGTAACAGCTCAAAATAGTGAGATATCATAAAAAAAAATTGATGACAAACGCAATACTTACTATTCTCAAGGTTTTGTTCCATGTTGTGGTACATCACTGACATATGAATCAAAAAGCTGCACTCCTCTTGTCTACCAGTACTTGGTAAAGGATAGGTAATTCCCAATTATGCTTGCTACTTTTCCACTAAGCCAAAAGAAAATCCTTACCAATAACCCTGACATATACCTAACCACAGTTCTGTACACTAATCTGCTTATCTTTTTTCATGGTGAGCACAGCTGTCAGAGATTGGAAGCACACTAGCTCCATCTGCTGAAACTGCTTCTGCAGACCTTTTTTTTTATATACCAGTGTTGAATAAAGATTTATTTGCATTATCCAGTTGATATTGAGAGATGAGCACTGAAAGTAGATAAGATTGCAATGAAAGTCCCTTTGTCAAAGTTGACTCAATAAAAACATAATATAATAACAATGTTGTCTCAAAATCTACTTTGTAGAAATGCATTGTCTTTCACAGTAAGAATAAACATCTTCATTACAGAAATGAATCACTGGTCTTTCAATTTCCTGGTTTTGCTGTCCTCCATTTATTTCAAAGCTCCTATAATCACTATGCAATTTTTAAACCAGACTTATAAGATTTTAATGACAAAAACAATCTTTATATTGTGATCACGTAGGGGCAGTTAAGAAATGTTGAATTAAACTATAATTCAGAAGACTATCTTTTTTATACAAAATAGATTTTATGTCAAAATGAATATTTTTCTTGTTGCTCATGAAAAATTTGTAAATCAACCATAAAGGAAAAGTAAGTGACAATTTTTCCTCCCCTATTGCCACCAGAGAAAATTATCTGTAGTACTGTTACGATGGAAATTCTACATAGAAATCACTGAAACCTGTATTTTTACAGCTTATATCAAGAAAATTTTGGGGGAAAACCCAAGAAAATAAAGAAAAATATAAGAAGTAAACACAACAAAATAAAGAATTCCTTTCCAGGAGATCTTGGTTGATATGTAGCCACTAACTCATCTGATACTGAATCCAGTTCAAGAGCTAGAACACCAGAGGTGAGGTGAGTATTTTTCTGACTGATAAGTCCTGACAGTTTACAGGAATGTTAAACCATGTTAGTTACTCCACTAGTAAACTTTAAGAGACCAAACTGAAAAATAGAATGGTTTAAACCTAAAGCAAGGCTTCCAAGTGCCTCTAAATCACATCATGGATCAACTGGGAGATATCTGCAACCCTACTAACACATTGTTTTCACATGCAATTGTTAATGAAACAAGATTTGTGATAGTCTTTCTATGGAGTTTAACAGAAGTCCTCGAGTTCTCTTTCAGGTGTGGAAGAACTTAAAGTTGCCCAGACAGACCAGGAGGTTACTGGTCAGTGCAAATCAATCCAAGTCTTTGCTGTGGGTGTTCTGCACCCAAGCCCTGTCTGGCTGCTGCTTCCAAGGGCAGCAAGAAAGATTAGAAGGGGTATAGACCTACAGTGAGGAAAAAAAAAAAAAAGACAATCACAAAGCCAAAGAAAATAGAATATGCACAAAAACTGAATAGCAAAGTTTTCTACTACTTCTGAGCAACATGTTCTTAACCACAGACTCTTTTGATGCAGAATTCCAAAGCTTTGCTCTCACTGAGGTACATGAAGAACTTTGTTCCAGCGTCATCCACTGGTGCATCTGCAGACTCACACAGGTTATTAATATTAAACACACCCCACATGTAGGATTGGCTTAATAGTTCCTGCTGTACTTACTCAGGCTTCTAATTATCAACATCTCTGCTTAGTGTATTTTCTGTTAGCTGTGAGGGTTGTGTCCCACAAGGGGTGATGAGAAACTCCTTCCTGTGCTTGATCTTCTCAACCTAGTTTTAAGTATGTGTTTGTAAGTCAAGAAAGAAAAAAAGGTTTTTTAAAAGTGTATTCTAGTGAAATGTTTGCTATTCCGTGAAGAAAAAGTATAGAAGAAACTTTTTACAGACATTGACTTCAGCATCTCTGGGTCTACATGTATATTTGTCACGCCCCAGCTGTTAATCTGGTGGAAAATCTAGGGCATTTAGTTTCACAGCAACTTAGCATATTTTACTTAGGCATTGTGCTAATTTTAATACCAAGGAAGCTGCATCTGGGGTTGTGGTGAAGCTTCTCAGTGACATCTGGGTGTTTCCTTTCATGAATATCTCATATTTAAGATAGAACAAGATTCCACAGAGCAGGAGACACGGCCACTCCTGAAAAGACAATACGGATCTCTTAGGCTGCAGTGAAGGGAAAGGGACAGGAAAAAAAGGAAATTAAAAGAAAAAAAAAATTTCAACCAGACATGAAAAAAGAACACAGTAAGTGCTTTAAATATTCCATCTGTAACTATAGTTTTCTAAGGTTCACATATGAAGCCCAAAGTCTCTCCCATCTTCCATGTTTGTAAAGGTGATAACAGTTCTACAACATTACCAAAGGGACTGTTTTCACCCTAGAAATGGATTCTGAGCTGTAAGGTGTTCCAAAGGTACAATGCAATTTCTGTGCCATAATCCACAGCCTACAGAGCCTACATCTATCCCACAGACCAGCAGGACCACAAGATGAGGAGTGAGAAAGCAATTTTATTCCTATACCACTTATGGGAAGATACATATGGGTTTAGCAGCTCTCAGCAACACAGCCCTTCTCCCAGGGGAATGGCTTTTCTTTGTTAAACTCTGAGTAGGTACCTAGCGAGTTAAGTCAACAGTTACTCTTGGCAGTACCTTAGCTGGGAAGTCAGTGGTTTCGGTTGAATACATTTAACTCAAAACCTTTGTTAAATAAAAGCTTTGGGTACACAACAAAAAGGGAAAATAAAAGAAAAAAAAGGGAGGGGAGAGAGAGAGGTCAGAGGGTTAGGTAGGCTCTGTTAAGAGGAGTGATTTGGTTTGTGTCTTCCTCTGCTTGTTTTCAATAATGTTCAAGCTATATGTATGTTACAAGGCTGCAACTGGTTTATTTGACCTGCTTATCTAAGTAGAACAAGATTTTAGTCAGGTAAATATAAACCTGTTCAAGCAGTGTGGTCTAGTTGTTAATTTTATGTTTTACCTTGAGCTTTCTTTTATGTTTCTCTATTGTGTACATTTAGGTCCTAGGCCTTACCAGGCATTTGTGTGGCCTTTATGTTCTTGAAGATTTTTGTACAGTCACTAGAATTTCTTCAGTAAAAGTACTTAAAGGCATAGCTTTTTAGGGAAGGACATGCAAGATCTAGTCAGTCAGCCTCTGTCTCCCCAAACTGATGAAAATTATGACTGAGACAAAAAAGCAGGAATTCTGCTGGAAACAAAATGATGATGCTTTTCCTAGAATGTTTAAAAAAACCTCAATACATAAAAGCAAGAAAGAAAATCTTATTTAGAAGACTACTTGGTTCAATACTGAAGTGAAGGCAGTAATTTGAATGGTGTGAGTAATCAGTATATAGTAAATGTATGTGGAAGGGTGAAAAAACCTATGGAATCAATAAAGCTTATGTGCAACCAATTTGCTGTGAATGAATAACCAAAGCTAAAGATTTCAATCAAAAAAAAAAAAATTTATGTCTCTAGCAAAGAGAATTAAGGTTTCTAAAAAGGAGTTTAAAATTATGATAAGAAAATGACAGGATAGCCAGTCAGGATGCGGAAGTGCAAATATATTCACAAGTAATCTGTTTATTTTTCTTTAATGTTACTATTTTTTTTCTTGTGATAGTGTTTTCTCCTTTTACCTCAAGTATCAGAGAATGCTTTTGTCCACTAACAACAAAAATATTTATCCACAGTGAATAGATAAGTAAAAGCATGGAGAGCACAGGTTTTAGTGTTAGAAACCAAGTGCAGGCTTCAAAGGAATAAACCTGGTATCATATTACTAATAAAAAAACAACTCCACATAAGCTCCCATGTGATGCAGCACTAAAAAGGGTTGGCAGTCACTTGATACTTAAATTAGTAATAGGTGTATGAGAAATGAATTTATTTTTAGCTATGCCAAGACTGACACTAATATTACGAAACTGTGTACAGTATAAATGTCTGCATAGTAAAAAGGTAGCTGGAAATCTCTAGATGAAAGAAACATAAATGATTTAATGGCTGCAGAAATTGCCTTGCAGTGAGAGTTTGAGAGCTCAATCTGTTCAGCCCAAAAACAGGGGCTTGAGAAGTGACTTGATTACTGCTTGCAAGTGCCTTCACAGCAATAAATTATGTATTAAGGAGATATTTAATATAGTAGGGTCATAATAAGAACATATGGACAGGAAGCAATGCCAGACATTTCTGGCATGATATTTTTCCAGCAATGAAGGTGATTAATCATTATAGGAAAATCCTAAGGGAAATGGTGAATTTTTAATTGTTTCATGTCTTTGTATGAAGATTAAATGGCTCTCCTGAAGATATAAATTTGTTAAATGCCACCTGTTTAGTGTCAACTAGGTGAAAGAAAATTATTCAAGATCCTGTAATGTCTATAAATCCTGGAGATCTGTACGCTGGGAGAAAACCTGTACAATGTCACTAAGGCACAGAGTTCTTTATGCATTGCAAAAGTAACTCTTTTCTATCCTGAAACTGCTAACCTACATGGAAGGATGTATATAGCTATACTTACACTTCTTTGAGGATGTCCAAGAACAACCGGCAATGCTAACAATTCACATAGAGTACCAATGTAACATTTTCTGTTAGAGTGAAGTCCCCTTTTCCATTTGTGATCCTCTAACTCCCGCTGTTTATCATAACAGAACAGGTTTTGTAAGCTATTATATCATAAACTTTCAGTTTGGGGTTTTAGTAAGCCTTGAACCTCAACAGATGGAGAT